AGACTTGTCAGGCAGTAATGTGAAGTCGCTTTGTACTGCAGTAGTCTCAAGTGTTTCTGATGAGCAAAAGACATCCACGGATCAAAGATCATAAGCTTCTCAATTTCCCTTGAACCGCCTGAGCCTTCATTCACATCATCTTTACCCACTTTTGGTTATTTTTAAACATCTCTACAACACATCAAAACTCGCGCCCTGTCTGGAGTTCACGGATCGAGAAACAGCATTGTTAACTGGTCTATAATCCCTGTGAGAGTACCAATTACAGCGGAGTCAATAAAAGACACATTAAAATAGCAGTTTGCATTTCTTTTTCCAATCTGGATCACTAGCACGAATTATTATGTATTGTTCATTTCCTCGCATTTCATTAAATATATAGTCGTGCCATATGGATAAAGTCAGTGCTCTGCATTGATAAACTGTTACCTTCCCAAATACAGCAATCAATCCAAAGCCTCAAGACAAGGATTTAGACAAATAAAAACAATTATACTATACATAATAGGTTATAGGTGTCATTGTTACAGTAATTATATATTTAAAGGAAGAACTTCATGTACTTCCGGGTTAGGTTGAGGGTTAGTTGAATGTAATTATGCATAATGTTCTGTTATTAGGCTACTATAGTAAGTACACTCAAAAAAAAAAAAAAAATACTGGTTGTTTTGACCCAATTTTGGGTCAAATATGGACAAACTCAAACATTGGGTTAACAATTTAATTTAAAAAAATGTAACCCAATGGCTGGGTTTGTCCATATTTGACCCAAAATTGGGTTAAAACAACCCAGCATTTTTTAGAGTGCTGAATAATAATTAACTACAGAGTTACTATAGGGTTAGGGTTTGGTTTAGGGTTAGGTGCATGTAATTATGCTAATTTATAAATACGTGTAACGTGTAACAAGGACACAATAAAATAAAGTGTTTCCTTGAAACAATAGGCTATATACGATAGAATGATATTATTTAACAGAATGTAAATGATTGTTGTAATTATTGATATTATAAGCATCAAATTAACAACTAAATAATATATTCAAACATCTAATGCCTGGGTTAAAAACGTATAGTAGCCTATGTTGATCTGTCTTTTCTTCTTCTTCTTCTTTTTTTTTTTTAATGTCACCATCACAAATGCTTGAATCCAAATCATAGTCAATTGCATCTGGTTCGGTACATTTTTCGCAATTAGAACTGCCTTTATCTGAATTTTAAGTAATGAGCAGCACTGTAATGGCAAAATCACATGCAGTGTAATATTATTACACACTCATGCGCGCACACAATGTGTATGTGGCGCTTTGAGATGACAATGCGTTGATATATATATATATATATATGCACTCCATATATATATATATATAGCCTATTATTATTATTATTATTTTATTTTTTTGAAACGCTGTACACTAAAGAAAATCCTTCGCCAGTGAAATTGTGGAGCTGTGTTGAGACAGGGTGACGGGAGAGAAGAGGTTAATCCGTCTTTAATGCAGTGATGGTCCACACTCTGATGGTTATGTTATCTCTGCCCAACATTTGGGTCTCCTACAATTTCAGCCCAGCCAAAATAGCTGCAAGAAAGTGCAGATGGAGTCACTCTCGACGCCTGAGGAGAAAAAAATATTAATAGCTAAATAACTTCCCCTTACTTTCACTTAATCTTCCTCTCTCTCAGTGTGTGTCCCTGTAACATATTCTATTCCAGATTGATTTGTTTAAAATGTCTCCCTATGCTTCTCTTTCACCGCGGCTTTGGGCTCGAGAGTATCTGCTTTATTTTCATATAAATGTGAAGCAAGAGTGAGAATGCCCTGCTGGTGCGCGTCTGGGGCGCATACACCGAGACTACGTGAAGCCGCGCGCTCTTTTCCAGAATATTCTCGTCGTGTTTCAACATAGAAAAATGTTGCATTTTAAAAACACATTTTTCCTGTTTTCTTCTAAATATCGCTGAGTTCGTGCACCCTGTGTAGCTTACAATAGGCATCAGACTGCGCAACGCTCACAGCCATCTCGCCTACAGGTTTTTGATCACCATTATCCCATAACAACACTCCTAAACCCCTGACTGAAGTCTGTTTGATTAGTCTGAAAACCTCAGGTAATCCACAGATTTGCTGAAGTGTCCAGTGCCACTCTCACAAATAGGCGCGCGCTCGCGTTTAACTGGTGCTCCTCCAGACAAAAAGAGCACCAGGTGAGCTGTCAGGCGCGGGGCTGTAACCCATTAAACACTAATTAAGTTTGGCAGGTTTGTGCTAACTCTGCTGTCGCTCATCATATTTTTTATTTCCGTAACGAGGATGGCAGGTGCACAAGATTATTATTATTGTAATGGCCACTAAACCAAATGTGGAAGTCATGGTTAAGGCTATTAAGGTTAGGCACTTGGAGATCTTCTCAGGGTGGAGGCAATTTAGACCCCCTCCCAAAAAAGGTATTAGACAAAACATGTTTTTAAAAAGTTTGGCGGGAAAAAAAATCCTACAAGATTTTTGTAACTAACTAGCCTGATCAGACTAATAAACACAAGCCAATACAAAGTTGCATGTATTTTAAATGCAGCAAAAAGTCAAACAAGATTTTGACATTTTGATTGGTTTGATTAACTAGATTGTCCAATGCGTAATTAGTGTAAGACCCTATAAATGCATGAAATAAATAAATAATGTATATTGTGTGTACACGAGATTCCATCAATGTAATAATGTTTACATGCATTTTGTATGACAAAAATTTGAGGTCTGACTTTTTTTTTTATTTAGACTTTGTAATTAATTGAACACCTTTTAAATTAATGAATCAAAAATAATGTATGTTGTACAACCCCAAAATAGGCTATACAGGAACCTATATCAATGTAAACATAAAAATAAAATAAATAAATGTTTGCATAGGCCTATATTATGTATGCCACAAATGTCAACAAAAAGAAAAAAATGTGATTTTTTTTTTTAAATATGCAGGCCTAGCAATTTAACATCTTATAAAGACATAAATAACATAAATAATGTATTTTGTATTTTAAAAAAAAAAGTTTGCAAGAATCCATCAGTGTAAATAAATAAATACCAGATCACATTAAATAAACACAAAATCTCATGAATTTACGCCCTGGGCGAGTCCCTGTGAGCCGTTTAGAGATGAAAGTGAAAAGAAATAAAGGGGCTCAGTTTAATCAGGGCTTAAAAGCTCTTCTACATTAGGGTTTGTGCGCGAAGAGCTGCTGGAGGATCAGTGTGTTTCTCACCGGTGCCTGCGAGCTCTTACACTCCTCAGCGACACAGACGCCCATTCAACACACCGTCCGCAGCTCTAATAGTCTTAACATTATTAAATGTTATCCGGATGGTAAACTTAAAGAATCCCTTCAAAGAATTTAACAGTGAATTCAGTGTTTGTGCCGAAGATGAGACACTGGAAATGACAGATTTATGGAATCATTAACCCAGAGATGACGCATTCACAGCATTCCCAACAAATGAACAACTAACCAGTGGACAGAAACAGCATGCATGCATTTGTTTAAAAACGAATATCAGTTTCGCCCTGTGAAGTATAGCTCTGGCATAATTTAGATCATGCAATTATTCAACAAATTAATTCATTTATCATTCTATGGCAATTAAACTCAATCCGTCATATATGTGCAAACGAACCTTTACTTTGTCTTAAACCAACCGCGCAGTTACGCGCAACTAAACCCGCACAAAAGACGTCGTTTTGCACCATGAAATGTTGAGCTCACAATTCTAAACGCTCCTTCATATTACAAAACTATCTAGCAGCAGGGAGCACTGAATAATTTATCTGCCTTTCTTTTCTTATACCCTTTGTACAAAGTTTTCCCCTCTTTTCTGGGATCTTTGAATGGGGGTCACCGGTCCAGTTACTCTTTTCGCTGCCCGGCTCCAGTGCTTTTTTTCTCTTTTTGTACCTCAGTCTAAAGGTTACAAAGGCTTAAAACGAGATTGTTCATAACCACGTTTGGGGGAAGCGTAATGTGACCTGTTATAAATATAATATTAAATAGATTTTTTTGACCTATAAGAATGTTAATAAAAATAATAAAAATAATAATAAAAATATAAATATAATATTAAATAGATTTATGACCTATAAGAATGTTATATTTCGAATTAAAATAGTGTATGTTTAATTCTAGCTACACTCTAAAAAAATGCTGGTGGGTTAATTTTTTTAATTCAATTTTTAACCCAATGTTTGAGTTTGTCCATATTTGACCCAAATTTTGGGTTAAAACAACCCGGGATTTTTTAAAGTGTATATTAAATATATGACCTAAAAATAAAATATTAATATAATAATATATATAATATGTCCCAAAATATGAAGTCTATAATATAGTTGTGCAATTCAATTAAAATGTTTTCAATTCACATCATGAAGGACATAATATAATATAATATAATATAATATAATATAATATAATATAATATAATATAATATAATATAATATAATATAATATAATGTTGCCAAAACAAGTCCCTCCAGCGGGTCCACATGTCCCGCGTAATGTAGTTGCTTAAACTGACATCGATTCTCAAATGGGTCAAACTGTCAGTTGTCGTTTAGGGGCTCGTTAAAACGCAAGGGAAATGGAATGTGCCACACAAATTAATTTACCAGGCTAAATACCTGACGTCAGGGCTCACATAAATAATTGAGTAAGTACCGAACAGCTAGCAGCATGAATAATGAGAGCTATTTGTGCCATTTTTTTTTTCCAAGGGGGCGCACAGATTCCCCCTGGCGAGAATGAAGGACTGCAGCATCTGTCCCTTTCAAAAACTACTTAATGAAATATCAATTGCAACAGCAGCACCAATTATAGCACCAGTCCATCATGATCTGTCAATGCAACCGATCCACACCTCAAAAAGCACAGTTCGAGTTTTAACACACAACTTTTACGCACCACGTTTCCTCGCGTCTTTTCGCACACAATGAGAAATGTAAAGGCCTCTGACCTTTGTCCCCGAGAATCCCATCGATGCTGTGTTTGGTTTTCTTTTCTCCGTCTTCATCTTTTTTATCACAGTCGTCATCGTCATCTTTCTTGCCAAAACGAGCTCTCAAAACCCGACTAATGGAGCTAACTATAAAGAGAGATAATAATCACTGTAGCGCCCAATCATAACACGAATATAATGAGATCATTTTTTTTATTTATATATATCAAAGCACACTAAAATCCAAAATCCCAAATTTAATCATGATCCATTATTTAAAAAAGATGCAGTGAAATGCGTAACGTCCTCTAAATATCAGTAAGAAAGAAATGGTGCTTACCGGAAGAGGCCTCACCTGAAGGAACCGTGCCTCTGTCACACACCCCGTCCTTCAGCAACTTATCCCGGATTTCCCAGCTGAACATCCCGGGATTCTCGCGTTTGTATTCCTCGATTCTCTTTTCAACGTCGGGTGTTGCAACTTGCTTTAGTATAGAACAAAAAAAAAAGAAAATGTAGAGGCGGAGAGAAAGAAATGCGCATTCTGTTGACTAGAAATCCTTGTTTCCATATAGATTTAAGAAACTATTCTCCATTGCGAAACGCTTGAGAGTGAAATCGTTCACTCACCCTGGGTTTGCTTCCACCTATTGCTCCCGGACGAATGGAGCCGGTCTCCTGGTACCGACAGAGGATTTTGGACACGCAGCCGTGTGAGACCCGCAGTTGTCTGGAGATCACGCAGGGTCGGATGCCGTGATGGGCCATTTCCACTATTTTGTGTCGGATGTGATTCGGCAGTGGCCTTCCGTTGATGAAAACTCCACCGAGCTGGTTCACTCGACCTTGACCCAGAGGCGTTGAGACTGCGGGAAAACATTCAGGCCCAAAGAGGGAAACAACCGTAAGATAACGAAAGTAACACTTTACAATACCCATTTATACTTTGCAATTAAATATGTGATATTGATTGCCTTTTGTTGAACATCTTGCAATTACGCATTATTTTTGCGCAACGTAAAAATACGCATAATGTTGTCAAATATTAAATAACACACTTTACTTGTGGATCATTTTAGAGTTTTGAGGATAAAGTCATCTAGGCTTTGCGCCGAATTTATCACAAAAACATCTGCATGCTGTCATTCTGATTAATCATATCATATCAGCTAATATCATTTATCACGTAATCGTGCGTAACGCCTTGTGTTTATTGGAAGATGCGAATACTGATTAATGAAAGCCTGCAGAATCAATCAAAAAAAATACATTTTCTTTCCAGAAAGAATCCTTCTATACTATCATCCTATCTGATGCGTTAGGAGAGGATGTAACACTTGAGGACACTAATTGCCATTCAAGAGGCACTAAAGATGTGCCACTTTAAACCTCGATTATTCCCAGTCATGCAACACAAATATTAGTGTGATGCTTTGAGCCAGTTTTATTTCCCTTCACTGCTGCGAGATACTTCTGCAAATCCCACAGATTGCCGGATTCGTGGGTTGGAAGGCTTTCGTCAAACTGCTCTTAAGCACGAATTCACTCGATAGGAAAGATGTTCCCATTTAATGCGCGAGCTGCGTATGGAAATCATACAAATCGGGACGACTGGAGCATTTTCCTCATAATAATCACTTATTCATAACTATGAACTGTTGGGTTTTTTTTAAATTGAAAACTGTTGTTCGGTCACATTTCATTTCGTTTCTTTAATCGTATCACTATCGCGTAAAAGAGTGCTTGACAAAAAAAATATATTTTTTAATTCTAAAAACTGAGTATTTTAAAATTATAAATATGTGATTTTTTTTTTTTTTTTAGTATAAAAAGAAGAAGAAAATAAGTAGTTGTCGTACCTTCTAATGGGAATCCGGTTCTGGGGTAGTTCTGGCCTGGAGCTGGCCGCATCATTCGAGGAACTGTTCCTGGTAAAGTAGCCATTCCAGCTACTCCCAAAACTATTGAAACTCTCACTAATAAATGAAAGAAATCAATCACACAGAAAGATCCAGTGTTGTTTGCGCCGTGGAAACTGTAACGGATCCAAAGAATTTAAAAACAAATCCAAACACACACACACACACAAGCGCGCGCGCACCAGTGTGCAGAAGAAAAGTTGTTCTTACAGTGAATAACCAAAAACAAGGGCAGAGTAAAGCATGCAGTGTTCTCTGAAGCAACTGTGTGTAAATATTAGTGAGAGGATCTGCTAGTTGTGATTACAGCTGCTGTTTGCTGCCTGAGAGGAGTTTAAGTGGCCAACTTTGGCGCACATAGTGGGAGGAGGAAGCGCGCGCTGCCATAGGCTCTTCGGCACTCTTTTACAGCATGGAGAGGAAGGGGAATGCCCGACATCTCTCGTCCAATCGGGAGGAACTTTGCAGAAAACACACAAGCACACTGCCCTCCCATTCCCTCTCTAAATCAACACAGGAAATGTTACAATGAGTTTTCATTCATCTCTCATTTGAACTGAAACGTCAGTTTAATGCGCTGGACTCTCTCTGTAGACACACACACAGGCTAATATATAATATAATATAATATAATATAATATAATATAATATAATATAATATAATATAATATAATATAATATAATACAAAAAACTACTCTTGAAAACAATAAAACTAACATTTGTATGCCATAGTGGGAAAATCAAATGTGTGCATTACGCGAAAACGATTGTTGTGTATTTTAACTTGACATTTGTGAATATATCATAACTATTTTTATTAATATATTCACAGTGAGCAAATGTTAACATCATTATTAAACAAGATAAAACACTCAAAATTTTGAGTATCACGGCGGATTTCCATAAATTTGGGTAAAATATGGGCAAACCCAAATGTTGGGTTAAAAATGTAATTTCAATTTTAACTCAATTTCAACTTTCACTTCCAACTGTAGGCTACATTTTTAACCCAGCATTTGGGTTTCTCCATATTTTACCCAAATTTTGTTGAAACCCAGCATTTCTGATTCAGAACAGAAGAAAAGAACAGATGAAACAACAGTGTTTTGAAACACAGTTCGCAAGAACTGATGAAGATTTAGAGATTTGGCCTGAAACATTTGACATATTCAATATAGATAGAATATACTGAATTAATAATGATAAATGATATAGAAAAATGAAAGGTATGACAAGTATACCTTTTACCTGGATGGAGTTGTTGAGTTGACTATATGGTTCTTTCAAGATTGAACAGGTTGGTCACACTTTAAGTTTTCTGTGTTACAGTGTAATAATATTAACTGCGTACTTACTAAAGGGTTTGGTTAAGGGTTAGTTGCGTAATATGAACATTTTATAGTAGTATATGTAACTAGTGTAACAAGGACACTAAAACAAAGAGTTGCAAAAAGCCAATATTTCAAAGGTTCTTCCGTAGATGCCTTTCTGAAATATTCATTATGATCGAAATACCCTCGTGACTCTAGCTGAAACTTCATGTTATGAGTGTAAGTCACTTCACCTGTTTTTCCGCGAGACCTGGGAGTCGTTTAACAGCACATTTGATAAAATCCTCCAGAATCTTTAGGTTGAATGGCCGTGCGCGTGTCCGCCTCTGTGGGACCGCCGCGCGCTGAGATTGTGTGGAAATTGCCGTGGCGAACACTCCTGGTGGAAAGCAATTTCACAAATAATTTTTACAACAATTAGGGAGTGTGGCGGGGTGAAATGGCGATTTCACATGCAGATGTTCCGGTAGGGAAGGACCTGGTGCCCGGCAGCGGAGCTCTAACCCTCAGTGTCCGGCGCGCGGGTCAGAGACGCACCGGTGATAATAGGTTACTATCAAAACAGAACTTTAGGATTTAGTCAAAAAAATTATAATAATATTTTCAAAACTACACAACTGCACACTAACCTTTCTCTCCCCATACAACATTTTGTCACAACATTGACTTTCCAAAAGTGCACATAATTGAAGGTGTTCATAAATTGATTGAGTTTTTTTGTGTGCTGTGCACTCAAATTTGTTATAAATCATCTCTTTTATTTCTGCAACTTTACACTGAAGTCTATGTAGATCTTAAGATCGTTCTGCAGACAAGTTAGAATAGGACATGCCTGTAAAAAAAATGCTCAGATTTCTTTCCAGAGACACTCAAAAGTGATGTCATGGATAATGTTATGAAAACATGAAACTTTAAAGTTAATATCCGGTTGACTTGAGCGTGGATAATTTATAGGTTACCTTTGAGTCGATTATTTATAGAGCATATATTTCAGCTTTAAATGTCTGTTTTTTATTTAAACATATTTGTGTAGGCTACTACCATCCTGCAATATCGTCTAAAATTGTTCGTTTAAAAGTGTAGAAAAAAAGGGGTTCTTCATCTGAACATTTAAAAACCAGCGTTATCTAATAAACTGATTTCAAAATCATTATCAAAAGCTTAATATCAATTTTAAGCAGAAAAGTCATTGCAAATAAGTCAAAAGAAGAATTATGTTAATTTAAAGAAAAAACAATGAATGAAAAATAAAAGAATATAAACGCATCTCATTGTAATCACATGAAGAGTATTGCCACTAGACCTATAAATAAAGCCAAAAGAATATAGGCCTATGGATTAATTGTGCATTAATTATTTAATCATTCAAAACTTGAAATAAAGCAAAAACACCTGCACAATATTTTTACAGCCCTTGACAAATATTGGGACTGAAGAGGAATTCACTCCATGTGTAAATGAATGTGTGTCCACTAGCAGGCGATATACAGTAGGTTAACTATGACACATAAGATGTTCCAAGTCTGGTTTTACATCCTCCTTGATATGGAAACATTTTATAAGAACAACACATGAAGCATGATACTATTTGTGCACCTGGTTACAGGCGCATCAGACATTCCTTGAACGTAAAACCCCTTTCTTAAAGGGACAGTTCATCCAAAAATGACAAATCTTTCATCATTTACTCACCCTCATGTTGTTCCAAACCGGTAGTAAATTGTGTCTTCTGTGGAACACAAAAGAAGATATTTTGAAGAATGTTGGTAATCAGACAGTTGATGGACACTTCGCCCGTGACATCATGACGCTCTAGTTTGCAGAAAAGTAATGGCCGTTTGCTGCACAGCGTTATAAAGTCAAACGTTAACCCAAAGATTGGGTACTTTACTGTGTAGAATCTGTGTACTTACCCTTATAAATTAAGGGCAAATTATTGTATTATTTCCTTTGATACATTTGATGTATATTTTAACTAATGTTATATATCAGAGGTAAGATAATTTTGATTCAAAATATAGCCCACGGACAAATTACACCTCTATTTTACTCGTAACACATTTACCAGTTATCCTTAGTTAACATAAGTAGCCTAATAATTGTAATTATGACTTATAGGCATCTAAAAAGTAAGGCTTCATTGATTGGTAAAGATGGCGTGTGTCGAAGAGATACAGGTAGATGTGTCTTTTGCTCTAATTCTCATATGGATCAGGCAGAGAACATGAACCCTGGTTATACCTTACCTTATATCTCATTTTAGCTTCTTCAAACAAAGAATTATCCTGCTGACAAAAGTGCAAATGTTTTGGTTTTTCTGCCAACCAGTTCGCGCCCACGCCCGTATCGTGACGTCACTTTTGACTCCGGCGAACATCAGCCCCACCCCTTTTCAGCGCTGCGCTCGTTGTCATTTGTCTTTTCACAGTGATCTTGCCTATTTATGAATGAACGGCTTGTTTTAAAATCTTCCCAGTCTACTGACATTTGTTAAGACATCTGCTCTAAACATTACAATCCTCATGATAACTTTCGTTAACTTTACATTAAGTAAATCAACTTCAGAAGCTAGTTACTTCTGGTCAGAGCGACCGCGAAAACGGAAGTTCAAAGACAATATTCTAAAGATGGCGGCGCCCTTGTTTCTCTGGTGCATAAGGTTTATAGGGGGAAAATACGCTATAGCTACTCAAATTGAGGGCGAGTGAGTGATGACATTTTTTTTTTTCCATTTTTGGGCGAACTGTCCATTTTAAAGGCAAAAGCAATGGGGGAAAGAAATGCTGAACTTGCATCTTCGAGTCCTGAAAGAAAAAAAACAGACTATTATGGCTCTAGTTTACTTAGGGTGTAAACTGTTTTGTACTGTGTTTCTCAATCAGTAATATTTGGTCTTTGTTAAAATTGAGCAACCTGCTGGATCTGTATGTGTGTGTGTGTGTAGACACTGGACGAGCTCCAGACTTTGCTGGCAAGTTTAGAGAAGCGCTGGGGAACCCGGTACACAAACCGCAGCTCGGTAAGGCCTCTTCCTCTCTCCTTCACGCTGTCCACACTCCCCACAGACTCTTGTTAACTTGCTAAGGCTTGTTCACATCTGCTGAGAATTATCACAATGTGTTATTGCTTACCAAGCAGAATTATTTTATCAGACGGAGAGAGTGAAAGTGTGTTGAGTTGGGTCGCTGCGGTAACTTCACAGTTTCTCTCGCTTTTAGAAATGACACGTGACATGCACGAGGAAATATTAAGAGACAACTATATCAAAAAACTAAACACAATCTCAACTTATACAATGTTTTAAAAAACAGCTATTTCTACTGGCCATACATTGGATTTAATAGCCTACTGTAAATTTACCGCTAAAAAAAAAAAAAAAAAAAATACACTTTTACCAAAAAGCAAAGCAAAGTAGAGAGAGAGAGGGGACCAAGAGGGTATGTTAAACTGCAATATAAACACTAAACTGCTTTAGTTGATAATGCATAAACTTAAAAAAAAATACAATTTGAATTTTCTGTAGAAAATTGTGTGCTTGTCCATGCAAAAGCATGTTAATTTATGGCTGATATGGGCTGCATCCTAAATCACACACTCTCTTAAACATCTACTATTATTACATCATGACCACTAAAAAAATATGTTCTATATAGTATGAATTTAATCCGTACACTCACCATGTTGTCACCGTCATGTGACCTCCAGTGTCGCTTCACTGCCTTTCACAAATCCTTTCCCGTGGCCTCATGGGATACTAAAGTGTCCGTCGTATGCACACTCAGAATCCGTCCAGAAGTACTAGGTCATCCCCTTTTTTGAGCACTGTGAATTCAGAGATACTCATCGCATACTGATTGTTTGCCAACTATATGATATTTCGTATGCAGATGCTCTCTTGATCAGTCCCTCCTTCAATGCAAGTATTTTTTACCCATGCACTTCTTGGTGAAAGGTGAAATCAAAACCCAAAAAATGTGTTGCAACATGCATTAAGCATCGCATCTCATGTTCACATCGTCTTGAAGTTTCACTTTTTCCCAAGTGCAGTTTTGAAAGTAGATGTTGCAATTCCTTTACATGGAAGGCACTAGTATGCCTGGAAGCACATGCATCTGGAGACTCTGACAGGCTTTAGAGGAGCGCAGTAGGAGGCCGGCTGGATTGCAGAGATGGAGTGGAGTGGAGGAGAAGAACCCCTCGT